CGCCGCCGCTACTTGTTGGCGCACATGTCGGGCTCCTTCTTGCTGTCACGGTGAGTCCTTCCAGTCCAGGCATGTGACTTACCTTTTGTTGCCATGCCAACTCTCTGGCACCATGGTTTCCCCTCTCTCGTGGTTGCCTGGAAACCAGTCATCCCTTCCCAGTCTGGAAGGATGCTGGTGCCTTGCCCGGTCCCCTTCTCCCCATCGCTCTCGGACTGATTCACAAAGGCGCGTGCACAGGCTGGTACGTGCGCGGAGAGCTGGCGAGGTACCCTGCTGGCACACCGGGTGGAGGATCGTCTCGCGCGCGCGTACAGTCACCTGTTTGCACGCCTGGAGAGGAGTGCACACCTCTGCACACAGCCCCTCGCCTTGCACAGGCTTACAGGCAGCGTCTCGCACACGTGCGTGCATGCAGATCCTCACAAACAGGCTCCTTGCACGGGCACAGAGGCACATAGAGCTGCTCGCCTGCATCAGAGGTCCTACATCTCGCCACCACTTCTTGCTGCAAAAACAGCCGCGCCCCCAGTACAGTCCTTTGTCCCTAACTGCAGGCACCGGGCCCCCATGCACGGGGCTTCGGGGCGAGGGGGAGGTAACTGTGATGTGAAATGATGCGGGACGTATTTTCCTGGTTTGCTGCTTGTTCTCGGGCTACCAAGCATTCAGCCCGAAGCGAGAAAGGGAGGAGTGCGCAGGGTATGTACTTGTGGCTTTCTGGAAAATGGCTGTCGAGCCGCGGTTCTGGAGGAATGCTTGGGTGGGAGGGGGAGCGACGGGCTCATCTGGGCATGAATAAGCTTTGCAACGTGAAAGAGCAGCCTCTGAAGAGACGCTCTCAGTGCTGCGTGCGGAGCCTGGCTGAAGCCGTTCCCGCGAGCGTGCCTGGCTGGGGGCGGCACTGCGAGTCCTCATCTCGACAGTGTGACGTGGGGCCCCTGCTCCTGCCAGCTGTTTGCACTCGCACTTCGCCGTCGTTTGCAAACAAGCGTACAGGCTTATTAAACAGCAGCTCCAGCGGATCCAGTTCTGTTCCCCGTGTGTTGTGCAGGAAGGCAGCGTGGGCCTGGGGCGAGTGCTAGCAAGACGCCAGCTCCGGATCTGTGACCTCTGCCAGCCTAAAGCGCGGTGCAGATAGTGTAGACCACGGGCACCAGCTACACGGCGGGCAGGAGATGCTGAAGCGTGGCAGTGCCGTGACGGCCTCTGTGCATCAGCTGATGAGCCTGGGAACGTGGGATCACTTGCCATCTTGTTGCTAGGGGCCTGGCTTTTAATTACGTGTGATTTCTTGGCGCTCACCTGATTAAACACTGCAGAGAGGCGTGAAGGTGTCGGTTGCTTCATCTTCTGTAATGGGGACATCGGCCTGGAAACCTCAGCCTCGTCCCGCGCGGTTTGGCCCCGTGGCGCTCCTGACCCCGTTTATGGATTGCCCGCGGGCCCCTGTGCGGCCCGGCTCGCGCTCGGCTGCTCCCTCCTCCCCCAGCGAGTGCGACGCGCTCCCCTGCCCAGAGCTGGAGGGAAAACGGGGCCGAGCCAGCCCGGGGGTCCGGCTTGATGCGCACCCCTCCTCCTACAGCGCGTGCTGTCCCGGGGACGTGATGCAGAGCCCTGCTGCCTTTGTCTGGTGCCCTGGGCGAGAAGCTGTTGCTTCGTTAACACGGAGTAGGTTAGTCCGGGGAGGGGGTCCCTGCTGATTCAGGAAGTGGGCCAGCACCTCCGTGCTGCACGCGGGATTAAGTCGCCTTTTACCCCTGCGGTTCCCGGGACCCTGGAGTCCTGCAGACCAGGACGTGCTGCTTTCGGTGCCACAGGCCCTGCACAAACGCCGTGCAGCCAGGAGCTCCTGTGCAGAGAGCTTGTGGGCCTGGAGCCAGACAGCGAGCAACAGATGGATCAACAGATGCGCAGGGTGTGGCTGCTGCGCTGAGCGAGGGCGCGCACGGGAGGGGGCTGGGCAGGGGCCTCTGCTGAGGCAGACAGAGCACGGAGCAGCCCCCGGCCCTGCACCTCCAGCCCCCACGGAGCCGCCCCGCTCTAGTTCTGGGGCACATCTGCCCTGCCTGCCATTACATTAGTGCAGCAGTGATTGCATCGGAGATGGTCCTCGCCTGAAGGCCTAGCCTAGCTGTTGTGTCTGCTTTGCCAGGCGCCGGTCGCAGGGGTGCGCTGGGTGCCGTGGACTGCGGTGGGGCATCAGGGCACAGACCCCCAGTGTCACGTCATGCAGGTTAGTCTAGGGCTCTTGGGACCTCCTTGTCCTGATTGCATCAAGCCTGGTCCTGTGCACCGTGTCACCTTTGGCACCCGGGTCTGGGCCTTGCAGTAGATGCCAGGGGAGAGGCTGGGTCCCTGCATCTCCCGGAGGACCCTCGGTTTCCTCCGAGCATCCTCCTCTGCCAGAAAATCCAAGCCTGCAAATGACAACCAGGTCTTTGCAGACGCTGTCCTGCGTCTCCCTCCTGCTGGCGTCTGAATCAGCGCGGCCCTGGAAAGCGATGAGTGGTGTCTTGCATGTTCCAGTGGCGTGGGTTGAAAATTGCTCCCTTGTTTAGGAGGAAGAGACATAATAACAGCAGGCGCATTAGCAGCCAAGCTGACAAAGAAAGGAAATGGCAGAGGAACATGGATCTGCATAGCTGGAACAGTCCATTCACACGTGCCTGCTCTCAGCCTCTGGCAGCTGTGCAGCGCTGCTGGGGTCTCTGGGGCTGTGCAGGGGACTCAGAGATTTGAACTCGGTCTGATATTTGGGAGATGCCTGGAGGGCTCCTGACAGGAGGAAGAGGCTGCCTGGCCCCAGCCCTGGTGGCAGGGCCTTGACGGGGCAGTGCCATGAAGGAGAGCCTTCCTTGTCCTGAGCAGTTTGCAGGCCAGGAGGGACAAATCGGGCTGCAGAGAGGTTGGCATTTCCTCCTCGCTGGCCTGTTGAAGTGGAAAATTCTCTCGGTGGATGATGGAGGAGGGAAGGGGCAATGGGGCAGAGGTTGGCCAGGGCCTCTGAGCAGGGGTGAGGGTCTGGAAGGAGCGGGCCTTGTGCTTTGTGCTGTGGCTCCTGCCCCACAGCACACAAACTGGGTGGTGGGTGCGTGTGCACACGTGTGTGCCAGTCCCCTTCCCATGTAAGTGTGTGGTCTGACTGCTGGCTACCCCGGGGCCTGGTGCAGGATGCCGGTGCTGAGATAGGGAGGCAGAGGGAGAGAGCCTGGCCTTGCACCGATCCCCTGCCAGACCAGACATGCAGGAGATGCCCCTCTCCTCCTCCCTCTCATACATCAGCCTCCTCACTGCCCAGCCCCAGCTCGGAGACGGACAGCCGGCAGCCAGGGCTCCCCTCCCCACAGCCCCCGGGCTGCCACGGGAATGCACGGGTGGAGGGACCAGGGACCGTCTATGCAGTCCGTGTCTCTGGGTGGTTTCAGAGCTGCCTTGGCTTGGGTGACACGGTCCGTGGAGCTGGTACGTGTGGGGGGGCCACAGGCTCTGCTGCAGCCCGGTAAGCCTTGTCACGCCTGGGAAGCAAAGGTCAGATTTTTTCAAACCAGAGCGGATGATGGGAAGCAGGACAGCTGCCTCAGAGCTAGTGCACGGCCAGGCGTTCCTGGGTTTAGGCCTGATTCTGCACTGCTCCTGCATGTGGACTTTTAGGCAAGCCGCGTTGTCTGCCTGTGCCTCAGTTTCCCCCTCTCTAGAATGGGATCAGGCCTTCTTATCCGACGGCTCTCGAGAGCCTCTCGTGGAAGATGCCTTAGAAAGGTGCAGGGCTGCTGCTGCCGTGACTGAAAGAAAAGCCCAGCTCGCTGCTTCCTGCGGAAGAGGCACAGTGCTTGGTTCCTGCAGCCTGAGGTGGGGCCGCTACGGGGCTGAGCTTGGGGAGGAGGTGGAAAGACGAGCCAGGGGATTCCAGAGCCAGCCTGAGCCGAGGGGTGGTGAGGGGAGGCTGAGGCGCTGCAAACGCTGCCTGCAAACCTGGCGAATGCAGGGGGTGACCCAAGGGCCCGAGGCGCTGCCTGGGGCCTTTCCGGCGGGTGCCAGGCCTGCTTCTGGAGGGCTGTTTTCCCGTGGTGCTCCCACGTGCCCTCCCAGCTTCCTTTCAAAGCATCAAACCACACCCGAGCCCATGGAAAGTTTTTCCTTCTGCGTTTGCTGGAGCTACGCAGCGTGTGGGCCAGGCTGCCTCCACCCAGACACTTTCCCCTTGGCTGCCTTGGATCCTCCAATCCTCCAGCCTTGTTATCACAAGGAGCGGGCGAGGGAGGGGAAGAATCCGAGGAATTTCGCATCCCTGAGCCGGCGGAGTCACGGGGCCGAGGCACCCTTCCAGCACTGGGGCTTGGCCTGGACCTGCAGAAGTATCGCGGACCTTTCCCAGTCCAGGCACAAAACCTTACTCGCCTGGTTGGTGCCACAATGACAGCAGTGAGAAACATAACCTTATAGTCCCCTACCATCAATTCTGGCTGGGCCCGAGGGATGGGAGAACGCGGCACGTGATGTCGCTCGACCCAGTTTTCCTGCCTGTGTCTCTACCTCGGCTTTCATAGGAAAAAGCCACGTTTGATGCAAGCCAGACACAAGCGCCCGCTGTCCTCTTGGCTGGTGGCGATGTGTGTCCGCATGTGCGTGCCCCCATCTGATATTGGTGTTTGCAGATGTAATGTTCCTGCAGGCGAAAAAGCCCATTGACAAAAGCTGTTTGTTAAGCTGCCGTGCGAGCTGGAAGGCGCTGTGATGGATGGTGCCGTTCCGGCCACGCGAACACGGCTGCTCATCATGCCACTCTTATTTATCGAGCGCCCTAGTGCAAAGAGGCCTGCACCGTAGGCAAGCGGTGCCCAGCACGCAGCAGCTCCCTGCCTTGAGCAGCTTCATCTTGGGGTGAGAGGCCTGGGGGAGACGTTGGCGATGTTTTTGCCTTTCTTTTATGGGTTCTGCATGGCCAGCCCTGGTTTTTGACAAGCCGGTGATGCTTTGTAAAGCATTTGCTCCTCTGGGGGAGAAGTGGGCTCATTGCGGGAACCAAGTCTGTTCCCAGGGACATGTTGGCATGTGAAAAAACCCCGCTTGCTAAAAATCCAGTCTCTGCTGGCACGAAGCCTCAGACCCCAGTGGGGAGAGCTGTTGTAATGCAGCCTTCCCCGGGCGGCTGAGCACAGCAGGACCGTGTGGGGCTCCCAGAGCGAGCTGGCTCCCTGGAGCGCGGCCCTGAGTGCCCCGCTGCTGCAAAGAGAGCTCGGGCTTCTCCCCAGGCCGCGACGAAGTCAGCACCGGGAGACAGGACCTTCCGGTGCTGCTGGGGTTGGCTGAGAGTTATTTATGTCAGCATTTCATGCAGACATTATTTATGTCAGCATGAAACTACTTCACAGTCAGGGCGGCTAGGAGCTGGAACCAACTTCCAAGGGAGGTGGTGCTGGCCCCTACCCTGGGGATCTTTAAGAAGAGGCTGGATACTTACCTGGCTGGACTCATTTGAGTCCCGTTTTTGTTTTTAGGGTGAGTGGTTTTGTTTGTGTTTTTGGGTTGTTCTCCCGCCCTGGCGGG